TTACAGTGTGACTATTTTGAGCTGTGGTGCAAGAATGACTCTCTCATTTAATCGAAATTTTTCCTTATGTAGGTAATGCAGTGTACATTTTTTGTTCAATTATGGATGAATATGTAGCAATTTCTTAAAATGTAAATAGTGAAGTTCTTAATATAAATGCAGAAAATTATGTTATTTATTAGTGTCAGGGTAATTTTTATCTCAGTTATTCAGTTACTTTACATGTTATATTGTGCTCTACAGCCCCAGATATAATTAGTAAAATAAAAGTATATTAGGGAACATCAAAATTTGTAATAAAAATATAATATAAAGTTGTTACTTTAAGTCCTGAAAATCTATAGACATCAGATTCAACTCTCATAAAATTGTAAAATAGCTACTAAATAAACATATCTTAAAATTAAATTAATCTTTTGTTTCTTAAAGCTCTAGGCCATATAAGTTTAGTGTTTAATTTGTAACATATTGTCATGACCTGGGATGCTATTATTTTGACACTGTCATTAAATTTCTATAGCCCTTGGAGAGGTGACTGGTCCTCTGGTGGGATAATGGTTCATTGTGGTGTTATTTAAATTGCAAGTAGTTATATAAAGGGATGTAGGAATTTTTTTTATATGTACTAATAGAATGTTTAAAGATTATTTTGTTATTGTGTTTGAGAGTTTGGGATCTGCCAGAATTGTTTCACATCTGTGGTCAGAATGAAGTTTTTCATTGAAGTTGTGATAATGCTGAATTCAGAGCAATAAAATTATTAATTAAAACTATAGTACTGAACTACAACTTACTTTAAGTGACCTTACCAGACCTAGTAAGTTAGGGTCGAGCAGTTGGTGAGATAGTAGCTATGTGTTCAAATGAGTTGAGCAGCAGAGTGCCTAGTTATGATAGTACCAACTGCCAGGTGTTCTCATTTCCTGGTCCAGGTGAGCTATAGAACAGGCAAGAATGCAAGAAACCTCTGACCTCATGAGATTATGGATTTTGTGTGATATGATACGCCAAACTGTCAGTGAGTTTTATTTTTTCAAACCTGAATTTGTGTTGTGTTTATGGGTAGTATTCTGTTCTCACTCTTGGAGTTTGTATTAACCATTGTTATCATGTGTGGGATATATCATCATCATCATAGACAGCAGTACATCGATAATTCTACCGATGCTTAGCTGCCACACAATCATGAATTATTATTACAAGAAAATGGGGAAAAAGTGGGATCTAACGTAAATGTATAACATATTATTATCCCATTAATAAAAGTAAATTTATTATTGATAAAATTTGTTTGGAGGAATACTTTTGTAGTGAAGTAAAGTAGAGCCTAATTGCTCAAACTGAAAGTACTGTATATGGTAGTTTGTAAAAAAGGTAACTCCATGATAGGTTATGAAACCAGTTGTATTATAGAAGTGATAATGCAGTTTAGTTTGAATTTCATGCAAAGCTACACGGGGGCTACCTGCACTAGCTGTCCATAATTTAGCAGTGATAGACTAGAGCGAAGACAGTTAGTCAACACCATCCACCACCAACTCTTGGGTTACTCTTTTACCAACAAAAAGTGGGACTGACTGTAACATTATAATACCCTCATGGCTGAAAGGGCAAATGTGTTTGGTGATGGGGGTTAGAACCTGCAACCCACAGATTGTGAGTCAAGCACCCTAACCACCAGATCACATGATAATGTGAAATCAACTAATTGAGAAAGCTGGACATTGAATTTATCTATTAATTTTGTTGATCAGTTTAAGAATTTTTTTTTTCTTGTTTGTTCTGATGGCATTATCATGGACTGAAACTATAAATTAATTACTTAACCCTAAATCTTTTGGTTCATATTTGTAATTGATATGTTCTTTGCATCTTCTTACAATTGACTTAGTGCACATGTATTACAGTTCATTGAGTGGGCTGAAACTTCAAATAAGTTACTTAGCCGTATAACCTTTGGTTCATATTTGTAACTGATATGCTCTTTGTATTTTTTTACAATTGACTTGGTGCAAAAGTGTTACAGTCGATTGAGTATATGCTTTCAATTACTGCAGTGCATCTATTTTTCATCTACTGCGCATATATGTAGTTTAAAATGTTTATGTCTGGTTATAGTTGACTATAATGCATAAATTCACACCTTAAATTTGTGTTTATGCATGCATAAAACAATTTAACTTTTTCAGATGTATCTATTTCAATTCTTTTCACCTGAAGACGATCATGACCATTATTAAGAAACAAACATACAAATAAGAAGTCAAGCATTTTAACATGTGATGTTTAAAATCTTTGAAAATAGTTAATGCATTATTACCAGATGTAATTGTTTACTGTCATTTAAAAAATAAAATAAAATCTGTTACTTATATTAGTGTGAAATGATGTACTCAGAAAAGAAAGATACATTGTCTTTATGTTAACCAAATGTACATAGGCTTGATCTTGCAGTTGAGATGGAATAGTGAATAAATTTCCAAGTTTACTATGTGTATCTATGCAAAATGTGACCAATTTTTAGTACAAAGTACAAGTCTGTTGTACACAGAATATCAGGTTAGTACTCAGACTCTGACAATTCAGAGTGCAAGTAATGTTCATGTGAAGATTAAAAATACTTTTGTCCATCATGCAGCTTGCATACTGCATTCTCATAGCCTCTAAGACCTCCAAACTGCATATTTACAGTGTTTTTTCAGTAACCCTGTATATTGCATCTGGTATTTACTTTCCTCTATCACAAGCTGTCAGTAAATCATCAATGTATGGTAAAATGAATAACTGATCATTCTGACATCAAATACTTAATACCATGTTGAATGGCATTCTGTAAAAGGTCATGACTTGCATAGTCTGACCCTCACCCATGCCCAATAACTGACTCTGTGCAGATTTGGTTATGGTGTTTCCATTATTATAACCCTGATTCAAAACTTATTTATTAAATCTATTACAACCAAAATATGAATATTAATTTGCAGTAAAATAGGCACCACAAGTTGATGCATTGGTGACAATAAAAAGTTTTGCACAACTATTTTTTTCAATTAAAAGAGAAAATTTAATTTTCATTTTTATACTTGTTGACACTACATATAAAATATATCCATAATGTAAAGGTACTTTGTATGCTTGTTTCCTATACTAACGTAACATTCTAAAAAAATCAAGCTTAAACTACAAGTCTTAGCCACTGCCAATTATCAATCTCTCATAAATTACAGATTAAAACAGCAAATTAGTCAGATGAAAAATATATGAAAGAAAATATAATATTGAAAATTCAAATATTATACAATTCTGTTTTTGGAATTTTCATCTGAACTGGAGATCTTGAAGGTGGCAGCAAAAACATCTAATTAGAAAAGAATAGCATACTAACGATATTTTTAAAAGACAAAGGGATGAAACAGATTGGTTTACACAAGAAGAATGTTTTCATGTTCCATTAGCAAGTTTATTTTAAAAGTTTGATGTTAAACCCTGCACTTAGCATATGATGTCCTGGTATGATGGCTACTATCTTAAATCTCAGCTTGCTGTGATCTTGGGCTCAAATTGTGAATGTGAAGAAAGAACTGTTATCATGCTTGCTTTAACAACTTATGTTAGAAATGTTGGTGTTACCTTTATCTTAAAGGGAGGATGAAAGTCATGCTTAAAGTACAATTACGTATAAACCATTGCTGCTAGGAAAACTACAGTATTTTAATAAATATTGATATAAATAAGAAATAATGTGCATTAAGCACACAAATATATAATACTAACTAATTTATTTAAACTTATGTTCCTTTATTTTGAATTTCAAACTAGAAATCCAGATTCCAAGTCTAGGTGTTGTCTAACTCTGTTAAAAATGGACTCTGCAAAAGGTTCATCATTAAATACATGTATTAAAAGACTAAGCCATTACCAATTATTAATCTTTTAAAACCTTATTCTAAAGAACCAAAATTAAACTACAGATTTAAATATTAATGTTTAAAGAATAACAATATGAAAAAAGATCAAATAATGAAAATTTAGTTTTTTTTCAGTGTTTTGACAAGTTTCAATTAGAGTTGCACAATTATCACAGGATGAAACTTTACTGTTAATAAAATTGTGGATTTATATACAGTGGATCTATTAATTACTAAAATATTCTAACTAGAACTTAAAAGGTTGTTATTAAATAAAAAGTATATTATAATGTGATGATACTTTGTATGTTTGTTCCCTTACCTGGCATTATCATCACCAGCTCAAAAATATTATATACAGTATATGTAGAGAGAAGACAGAGAGAGCAAACGAAAGTATATGTGTATCATTAAGGAGAGTTTATTTCTTTAGGTATACGTATTCATAAAAGTAGCTCCAACTGTAAAAAAATTGAGGAAGTAAACATAGATACTAGTACTTAATTGTTATGTGTTATATCAGCAGTGACAAAGCCTATTGCATTGTTAGCTAGTCTTAATTTCATGTGTTAGTAAGGAAAGGTGGTCTATAGTGATGTGATTTTTGTCATGATTGTTATTTCAGATTTATGAAATTCCTTAGATGATATGTTGATATGTTCTTTTCTACAGAAACCTGAATTAAATCTAGAAATGGGCTTAATTATTGTTCGCTAGAGAATTGTGAGTTTTACATATAATATTGTTACATCGCTTAGAACTTGTAGTCACTTATTTATGCAAGTTATGTGACAATGAAAGTTTTTTTATTTAATATCAATGTAAGTTAACATATGTGTTATCTGTAAACTCGAATTATTAACTAAAAACATTTTGGATTACTTGGATGATATTCTATAAAATATTGAGTATTCTTAATATGGGCTGATATTTTCCCCAAAAGTTAATTGTGTATAAAAGTAATTTTCATTCAGAAAAAGATAAAACAGAAATGCAGATATCGATTAATACTCTGTAGGTCTCAATCCATACACATATTTAAGTAAGATCTTACCTTTCATTGTATACTAATGAAATAGCAATTTGTCTTACCTTGTATTGATCAAGTATTGTGCTAAGTTAATGGCTTCAGGTGTTCCAGATATTGACACAGTTCTGTCTTTGGAACTTTCATCTGAATTGGAGATCTTTATAGTGGCCCCAGAGAGTTGCCTATTAAACAAAGTAATATATAAATCACAAACATTTCACACAAATTGTTTTCTTAAAAGAACACATTCACTCATCATACACATAAAGGAATATCTTTATAACTGACCTATATAATCTAAACAGTTATTTAACCCTCTGACTAGCTTTGTAACAATGAAACTATATACAGTATAACTCTGAATTTATTATGTATATCTTCACGAATTTGGTAGACTTTTAAAGAACATTACAAGTCTGTTGTACATAAAAAAAAATCATATTTTTTAATTAAGTATTTTTATTACAGATTTCTGTGAAAATATACAAAGCCTTTACAGAGATTGCCAAGTGCAAGGTGATTTTCATGTTAAGAATAAAAACCATTTTCTTCTTAAAGTTTTCACATTTCTTTTACATAACCTCTAGAACCTCCTAAATGAATATAAAAAAATTTTCCAATAAAACCTCCCTGTATACAGGCTTGGTTCATTTGACTGAAGTTGTAACCACCACGTAAAAATACAATATAAATCTAAATTACCATTTTAGCTTTCTAGAATTATTGCTTATTGTAACAGACAATTACAGTTATTTATCCAAACATTTTCAGCCCTCTAACCATTTCACAACTGCTTCCATTCAATTCTGTTATTTTATTGCTCTTTAAACTGTGTCTCATTAGTAAACTAGTTAATAAAACAATAAGTTATCTAATAAGTTTCTAATTTTTTACATATTAGTTACTTTTACAACAATAAATAAAAAATACATAAAAACAAGAACTTTAGTACTTATGTGTGGGTCTTTTGCAGTAAAAGTCTTGATTTATTTATCTTTATTTATTTCAAATATTCAATTTAGAACACAAAGTCTTATAACTATATAATTTAACTGGCTTTCTAATTAAGCTAGAAGTGGTTTAAAATGATTCCTTTGGTTGGTCAAAGTGCCTTGGTGATAGCAAAGAATGAAACTGTAGGCCAAATAATTCAAAATCTGTCATCAGAAAGAGCTAGCCTTATAAGAAATTCAGGAAATTAAAATCTTTCTTTCTTACAAATAATCTAGTAGCAAATGACAGAAGGAATTACTGACATTTTTTTTTGAAAGACAGGATTTTATTGGAATGCATGAAATGTGGGCTTTACTTTTTGGTTTAAATACCAGTAAAACAAGAAGATTGGAGACTGTTAGGTTTTTATAGGACTGGATTCTTTAGAGTAGGTGTCTGTGAGTTATTGACGATAAATGTCAACAATAAATGAACAGCACACAATCCACTTATTTTAAAATAACATATTCAAAACAAGTAAAAAATATGTACAAAAATTGTTACACTGTTGGTTATCACAGTAGTATCCAGAGCTCTGAATAATTGTCTCTTATTTGTCAAAGTCCATACAGGCGAGTTCATTTACTTTAGAACACCCTTTGACAAGACAAATTATTCTCCTCTCCTCTGTTGTTACAATACAAGGCTGTGACACTCACTTTAAAGTCACCACTATAACTGTAGGTTACCACAGTTGTATCCAGAGCTTTAAATAATTGTCTCCTTTTCGTCAAAGTCCACACAGGTGGGTTCAATTACTTTAGAACACCCTTTGACAAGACAACTTATTCTCCTCTATCTCTGTTATTACGATACAAGCTGTGATACTTTCACTTTAGAAATTGCCACTATACATTCTTTATTGGTAAACTCACAGTCACGCAGTTTAACTTTACTTTTTTTCACTTTTAATTTCACTAACTTCACTTTCTTGCACTGATTTGGTCACCTATATATATGTTGCCTGCCTGATGCCTAGAACTTTCTATAAACTACAAGACATTATGATGTAACATTACCCACTTAAAGCAAAGAGAAATATTCAGAAAGTTTGAGTAATATGACATAAACTGAACTAGGCAACAAATGATTCATAAACAGTTACTTAAGCAAACTTGGCATAACTATCGATTCTAAAAATACTAAGTTTAATACTGATAATTTATAAATATCTAAATCATAACTCTCGTATTAAGTTTAAATGAAACAGTTGTGTATATCTAACAGAGGCTATGAATTTAGACTATGTGTTAGCAATATATATAATATAAAAACTTAAATCAAACACTTCATTCTGATATCAAGTTCATTGACGTACATTAATAATAAAGTAGTTTAATGAAGTTTTGAATGTAACTCTGTAAAACAGATAATGAAATGTGCAATTTGGCCTACCTATATCCTGAGGGTTAAAACAATCAATTTCATATAAAGGTATATATCTTTTAAATCTGTAACTGTCATGAAAAACTGAGGCATTCAGCACTAGTTTTAAATATTTTGATGAAACATGTGAAAAAAAAAGAAGAGAATATTACATGCTTAGTCTTTGGGGGCACATTTTGAGAATACTACCCCTACTCATCAGTAAACCTCACATTTGTGCAATTACTAATAATGTTAAAAAATAACTAGTATATAAAACTTGTAAAAACCTTGTGATCTTCACCTTTGTTGCTTCTTCAGTGCAATAAAATACAATGATTTTTACCTAATTTCATTTATTTTAGCTCCACCTTTGCCAATAACACAGCCAATCAGATCATTTGGAATATTCATTTCTGTTACAGTTCCAGGTGCAATGATGTTGGGAGTGGCAGAAGTACCAGGACGTAGACTGCCGTGTGCTGCAAGTGAAGCTAAAGCTGGTGACATAAGCAATCCTGCATCAGCATACAGCTCCAGTTTCTTATTCATGTCTACATTAAATATTTAAACAAGAGAAAGTTATTATTACAGGTACATACTAGAAACTGAGACTGAAGCAATATCACAATTAAGCAGTTAAATCTTGATTCTAAATTTTAAAAAATGAAAAGTTCTGTCCGTAATCCTCTTATTTTTTGGCAAGAAGTTGCAAGATTTCAGTATATGTTTCATTTAAAAACTTTATGATTTGATTGTGGTATATTTTAAAAATGTTACAAGTAACTAAGGGATAAATGAAAACTGTATAAAATGTATAAGATATAGCAATATGCTGATGATAAAATGCCAAGGTTTGGCAGAAATGTTTATTAAGTTCTGTAAGATCAAAATATTTTTTAATTAAGGTTATTATATATATATATATATATTCAATAGTGAGTTGCTGTGCTTGCTAAGCCTTTGAAAAAAATGTGTGGGAACCCTCTTGTCTAACCAAACTCTTTACTGGTATAATGTGATAATTTCTAGTTTAAAAAACCTACAGTATATTCATATATTTTCAAGCAGCTGCTAAGATACCTATTTTACTATTAACCTTTTTTCATTGATAAAATTATAGAATTTTACTCACACACATTTTCATTTACATGGATAGAAGGTTTCATGATAAATATATATTTATTAAACTTTTACTTTCTGTAGTTGAAGGATTTTAACAAAGGTAATATTTTAGGTTTTACTATAAATGTATTTTTTCTATGAGGTCAAATGATTTTATGATAAACTCATTCGCACAACTTTGGTTGTAATTTGATTTTGTTTAACGTTTTCTTTAAAAGAGTATTCCAAATGATGTTATCAATTTAGAGTTGTATAATTTTGAAGAAAAATTAGTTTTGTATTTCTTTTTGATAAAATGATATTAAAAAGTCCTTATAAAATTTGTTATGTTTACAAATATGAGCTACAAGTATGTAAAAATAAAACATATTTATGTTCATTAGCAAAAGTACCAGGTGCTACACAAAGCATTTATATCCTTTGCTTCTTGTTGATGACAAGATGGCATGGGCACACATCATTTGCTATGCAGGTCTATTGAACATTGGAATAATTGTTTTTAAAAATTCAATCCTACTAGCCAACTGCTTCATATTAATGGAGCTATTTTTAACACATTCATTGCAGCTGGGACTTATATTTCCCAGTGCACTGGGAAATATATGTCATAGCTGCAGTGAAAGGGTTAATATATTACCTAACTTGTATTTCTAGGTGAGCTGGATACCTGAGCCTTGCCTAAGAACTCCTGAAGGTTTCATGATTATCAGAGTTTGGGAAATGTGTGCTAAAGCATTGGCAAGGAATTAATTTAAAACTTGCATAAGTTAGAAATAGAATAAGTAAAAGATTTCAGAAACCCTCTGAGGCATATCCAAAAACCTCTGAAAGTTTCATGGTTATCAGAGGTTGGGAAGTTTGAGAATTTTTGTTATGTCCAGACACAAGCCACTTTGTAGTAAAGGTGCTATTAGTTTCTCAATGAACATCATTTAGGTTTCCTTAATACAACTAAAAATTCAGTTTTGAAAATATCCTACTACCAATATTTCTTCATGGAAATAGCTTTGAAATGGCAGAAACTTGCAGTTGTAAAAGGACTGCTTAGAACAAGGTGTAAGCAAACATTGATATATTATATCTTTAATATCATACTAGAAAAAAAAAAAGGTTCCTTGAGCAGTTAGAGTTCCAAGAGCATGAGTTGGTAAAAGTGGGGCATTTTGTAGAGCTAACTGATGTAGCTTGGTTAGCTGTGATCAAAAGAACAAAAAAGTTAATTACAGCAATAACTGCTAGAGTTTGTTTGAATTTTTAAAAAATCAGCTATTAATATGATGTCATAACATTTGTTTTATATTTCACAATGATGAGCTAACTGTGTATTTGGGGTGAAGTTTCTACATGATTCCACTTCAAAACACAAGTAATTATCCTGTTGATATTAGCAATTTATGAAAATGAAAGTGAGTATTCCTGCAAGGCTATAATAACTGAGACTTGATAATTGGTAAAAGTTGACGAACATGGTATCAATTATAGGGTAACATATTTTGGTCCATTCTACTGACACAGTGCTCATGCAGTTAGTGAATTAAGTCTGAGTTAAAGTCTGAGTTTAGGAACTTCAAAGATTCGGTGCATGCACTCCAATACCAGCTGGGAGATGTCTATGATGCTTAGGTTTCCATTGCAAAAACAACACCTTCACTAAAAACAGTAGAATCAAATCATGTCCAGAAGCAAAGTCAACTGACGCTAAGTTTCAAAACGGTGACTAGTCTTGTGGTACTGCAGGACTTGCTGTATGATATCAACCTGCTTAAAAGTGAGCTTGATATGTCTCAAGCTACTCTACAACTACAAAAACAACAGGTTTCTTTCGTCAGTCCTGTACCGATGAAAGATCTTCAGAGGCATTTATGGACATAAACAAGCATGCTTAAGAAATGAAAATCACTGGACAACTTTCATAAAGGCATCATGTTTGATCATGATAGAAGAAAACAGTGTTTTTACAAGAAAACTTCAATGAAACTATCCTTAATTCACAGCAAAACGTCAAGCCCAATTTCTTTAACAAAATGTTGATACAGCCATTGAATTAGTGTAAGGGAAGTTTCAGAAACTATAGGAATACAGCTCATTGTTCAGTTTCCTGTACTGCACTGCTGACAATTGAAAATGAGCTCAGTGGACTTGCTGAAACACTTCATGGATTTCCAAGTTCACTTATCAAGTAATGAAGCAACTGATAGCAGTATGATAGAACGGTAAAACATATTGCAGTCCTCTCACAAATAGTTACCAAATTAGAATTGTCATTTCCAAAACCTTTGTTGCACTGAAAATTCTGTTGACTTTATCATTACCAATGCAAGTGGAGAGAGAAGCTTTACCAAACTCAGCTGATTAAATACCTAAGATTAACCATCATAAAAAAGGACTGGTTGGACTGGCAAACTTTTCAATTGAGTATGAAACTGCACAAAAAGTGGACTTGAAGGAAGCAATGAGTGATTTTTTCTCAATGAAAGTAAGAAAAGTGAATAATCATACCTGTAAAATTTGCAACTGGCATAACTTCATGCATTAACTGTTACTGTCGCATTTCCTCAGGATTTAATAAATAAATTCACTTGATTTGTAGTCCTATGAATTTCATGTACAATTAAATGTAAAACTGGAGAGAGGTTAATTGAAAACTTGCCTAGGATGGCAAAATAGCTAAAATTGGCCTGTTTCTACACAAGTATCACTTTATATCAAAATAATTATTTGAGCTAATTATCTACTATAAATAAAATGTAATCAAACTATAATACTGTATATATACTAACCTACTGTATGGTACACTCCTACTAAAAACTCTAGCTAATTTTTACATAAAATACAAATCAGATTGATTTTTAGTTTTCTTTGATTTCATGCACAAGCCTTTAATTTAAAAATCCTTTCATTTTAACACCCTTTTTTTGCACTAATATTCAAAATTGATTATAAAATACAATTTTAACAATCAGTATGAAAAAAATATTGAAAAATGAAGTCACATTTGTGCTTATTAATATATTTCAGTGATAAATATTGGCAGTTAACTATAACTACATAGGAAATATGGTATTTTGCATTCATGATGTTATTATTTATAAAATATTACAATGCATACATCTTGGACAGAGCTTTAGGCAGATTAACCTCATGTTACATGAGAAATGATAATTTTTTTTCAAAGTGACACACATTTCAATCTATGTTATCAGCTTTGGAAAAATCAGTTTAACAAATTTTCAAAAATTAAAGTGCTACAGCTGCAGGTTTATGTTAATAAGATATAAAACAACAAACTTTAATAAAGACTTAAAAAAAAGATTAACCTGCTTTGAATGTATGATTTCACTCAAAACATATCATTTTTGTAAATTACATAAAACATTTGTACAATTTAAGTTGTACAAGAAGAGTAACTATTAACTATTAACACCTTGAAAGAAAAAGCATAGAAAATTAAAATGCTATACACACAGACAAACAAGAAATGTGGAATTACCGGTGACCATATACTAACATCAGGATGTGGGATAGCATACTGCCCCTGAACAGTGTAGGCCTGACCACCTGCAAATATTACTGGTGGCATTGTTGGCTTTGGACGGTATGGTATTGTTGCTCCCTTTGGAGAGGACTGTGAAGAACAGAAAATGTGTAAGGCACACAGTCTGATATATACAATTAACATTAAAAACTGTTATCTCTTTGATGTAATATAGTTTTAGGTAATTTTCTTGGAATGATTCCAATGTAGAAAACTTCTCAAGCTATAAAAGTTACACTTACACAGGATTTGTTTACAGCCTCAACAGAGGGAAATTTGGAAAAATTGCTAAATGAATTAAAAACTGTAAACATATAGTATATCTTAGTGATATAAATATGAATATTAAATAAAAAATAATGAAAATAGTACTCTGGTCAATGACTATCAAAACTTATTACATTTTAATGGATTTCAACAAAATATATATGTTAACACAAGATCAAAATGGAAAAGTGGAAAGTTGGTTAACTTTTGTTTAAATCATGTGTGTACAAAACTTACAGGTATAAATGTAAAAAGCTATGTGATCAAGGAAAAATATCAGATCATAGGATGATTTTGGATAATTTAAAAGGCAATTTAAAAAGAATAAACAAACTATGAAAAAGAGCATAGATAATGTTTTAGTGATTAATAAAATTAAAATAAATAGTGTTATAAATGACATAAACAACTATAATTGGGAAGAGTTCTTAGGATTAAAATATCCTGAGATAATCTATAAAAAATTGGTTTGTGTGTTAAATGAAATTGAATTGAAAAATACATTTGAGATTAAAATAAAAAAGAGGAATACACAGGATAAATCTTGGATAGATTCTGATATTTTAGAGTTAATAAGAGAAAAGGATAAATTATAGCAAAAGTATAAATGTCAGAAGAATGAAACAAATGAAGCAGTTTACAAAGCAAAGAGAAATTCTTCCAACTTACACTGTCCTAAACATTCATATAGAAAAAATATCCACATGTCAGTATTGGCGAAACTTACGCTCAAAAGTGCTGTGAAAGTGTTTGGCAAATGTAAAGGTTAAAAAAAAAATTGCCTTGGTATACCTAGGAGGAATTAGTAATCTGTGCAAAGCCTAACAAAGTTAGAATTTAATAATCACATATCTTATACCTACAACACCAAAATCATTAGCACTGTTTAAGATGTTAACAATGCTTATACAAAATTTAAGTTAAAACAATTGGATTACTTGGTAAACAGTCTCTGTACTAAAGAATATTTTTCTATTCATGTATATTTTTTCCCGTTCAGTTATTGAAACCACTTTAACCTTTAATTAAAACTATTCTCTGTAATAAGATTATGTGTGCCTATATATATTTATGTGTATACAACACAACAAAAAATTGCATCATACATATAGGACTCAAGAACGAAATTTGTGTCAAAATTAAAGAGTGGGAATAGTACAAAGTATGCTAATAAGAGAGACATTTGCTGCAATAGTAATACACTGTCTGTTCTCAATCCTCACATAAAAAATGAAATTAAAAGTATATGCTCAAACTTACCATATCCAACATATATATATATATAATTATATTTTCAATCTATAGTCAGTTTTGGGGGAAATGTAGTTGCTCTAATGAAACATAAATAAAAATAAAATAAAACAGGTCATTAAAAATACAGATAGATCAGTGGAGATGTAAACTAAGACTTAACTCCTGGAGTTGGCATTCTAGCTTTCAAAATGACCCCTCATCTTAAGAAAGTTAAGATAATATTTGAAGGTAAGTAAATTTTGTTGTATTATTTTCACTTTCCTTTAAATGTTAAATTTAATCCTGAAAATATCTAACCTCCATCATCACACAACAGGTTTGGTAGATACATTTCGTGATTGCATCAGCTGTCCCTGAAATAGTAACTGCTCTCTCTGTAGAGTTGGGCAACATCTCACTTGCCACTTGTATAGATGCCCCTGTAATCTGATGAAAAGAAAATTACATATAAATTCGTCTGTAAAGACATCAACCAATGAAATTATATGGTAGTCTTCTTTTTATTCTATGAGATTTCATGTAATTGTTGGCCAGGAAGGTACAAAATTAATAAACTACAATAGTTAACTGAAACAGTTAATATCTATTGTCCACTCCCATTTACAAGCATATTTTGCAAAACTTTTGCATAAGCAGTTTTATGTAAATACTGAAGCCATTTTATAATTATAAAAACAAAGTCTGAGATGTAAATACAATATGTACATTGAAATCTAACTTACTCTTCATGTCTTTTAAAATAAACATGCCCAAAGTAATTTTTTAAAGTGAATTTTACAATCATAAGCTTTCTCAGCTGGCTTTTAGAATTATGGATGCTTTCCAAGCTATATTCAAAGCTCAACCCATCCCACGCTATAAACGATATACAACTTTACAAGTCTTTTTGCTTTTTTTTCACTGGAATCTTATTATAATTACCAACTTTTTTATTTTCTGTCTGCATGTATATATATTTGAATAAATGTATATAGTCCTAGTAAATCTCACTTTATAAAGAATATGAGTAGATAATTCATAAAAATATCCATATGTAGTGTTTGTGATGTCAAATGAGTCATTTTGTCATGATGAAATTTCTTCTAGGATACAATCTCAGCTATAATCTAAAATCTTATGACATCTGACAGTTATATTTTGAACTTTATAATGATAGTACTTAGTCTAATAAACTGCACATACGTACCAAGATTAATGCAAGTTACATAATTAGCATAAAAGTAGTAGTTAATTAACAAATATATAATTAGTATAAAACGATAAAACTCCTATAACCTGAGTGCTTTCAAAAGCATATTTTGAAAGTGCTCAGGTTATAGGGTTTTTGATAATTTTATATTAAGACTTCTTGAACCTATGTATTTTTTTGACATCATGAATATATAATTAGTATAATATTTTACATATTAATTATTCTTCCTTGTTTTTATATTTATATAGTTAATTCTCTGTAAAACCCATTTAATTGGTATGTTATTAATATATTTTCTGATGTAGTTAATTCCCTGAAAAACCATTCAGTTGGTATGTTATTAATTTATTTTCTGGTGTAGTTAATTTCCTGAAAAACTTGTATATTAATATGTTGTAAATATTTGGTTTAGTCAATTCACCATTAACTTGCCAATTACTATTGTATAAGTCATGGGTTACTTCAGAATTAACTGACTGTTTGTTTAGGTCAGTTCATAATAACTGTATTTAGCACATCTATTACTGACACTTCAATTTATCTTCTATGCTAAAATAATAATCACTTTTTGTTTTTAATCCTTTCATCAGTTTAAAGCATAAGCTATTTAAAGATTCAACAACATAATTAACTATTGTAGTTAATCTACAGAATCTCAGTATATCAGCAGGCCTGTATGCAGAATGTTTGAAAGGGGATTCTAATTCATGAGATCAAAAGTCAACACATATTTTGTGAAGCGCAATCAGCATGCAAAGCATGCTAATTCTACAGGTGTCTGGGGGCATGCCCCACCAGAAATTTTGTAAAAAATAGATGCTATGAGATTAAATCTGGAAGCAATTTTGCATTGCATTGCTGTTCACATAAAATCCACAAACATCCAATGAAACAATAACAACTCATCATTCTGTTGAAACACTGCATTTAAATTATCATAAATATGTATGTTTTATTATAATAAAGTACTGTATTATATACATGCAGAGTAGTTATTAATTGTTAAATTATATTACTGATTTAAACAACTCTGTACAACAATAATATATTAACTATTTCAATCATTGGCTATCCTATACGTACATGTTTGCATTCCATAAATAACAAGTTAGCATGCTCCATTCCATAAATAACTTACATATAGTTTCAATGTTGATAGCAGTGTAATAATGATTATGTATTAAAACTAGAGCATTCAGGCTTTCTTCAGTTTGTGTACATCTCAGGTAGCTATTCAATTGGCAGAGAGCAGATACCAAACATTCATATGAACATGAACTTAGTGGCAGTGTGACAAACAGTTCCAGCAACATAAAGATATTTGGTACGCTGAAGCATGCTTTGACAAAAAAAAAGAGAGACAATTATTTAAAGCTCTAGATACAACTGTGATAACCAACCATGTAAGGAACATTTGTATATATGTTTGACATGTTTTAATATATTATTTTAAAACAAGTAGACAATATTGCTGTTTATTTATTGTTGAAATTTATCACCAACAAGTCAGAGACACCTACTGTAAAGAATCCAGCCTACAAAACCGACAGTAGCAATACGGCTTCAGGCTTCCAATTACAAAGTATCAACAGCAGCCATTGCATGTGACTATTTAAAGCCAAAAAATGCTAATGCTTCATCAGAAGAATGTAGACTATGTAGAAAACATTAAATGTCATAAGCAGCTGTGCTATAACTATATAAGTATAATTTGTTTACATCATAAAAATAAGAGGTTCAGCCAACCCCTCCCCCCTACATATGTGCATGATCAGATTCAGGTTCAAGGTAATGTACTAATAAATCATTTACTTCTCTAATTTCTTTAATCTTTGATCCTCCTTTTCCAATAAGCGAGCCACACTGGCTGGCTGGAACAATGAGCCGAAGGGTGACTGGAGGCTTGGGAACATTGAAACCAGGAGTGTTGTGCAAATCCTATAAAAAATGAAATTGCTAAGTATTGCAGTGATCTAGAACAAAGAGTATTAATTAAGTCTACAATTTTCCATGAGTGTGGATAGCTGGGACTCTTGATACGTATTATCATTATCAAACAAACAACTCCCCTGTCCTCATGAATACAGTGGGCAATAATGACATCATTCCTACATTTAAACTTTTATAAAACATATGCCTAAATAATTACCATTTTATATATAATTTTCTCACTAAGGTTTCAGGTAAATATACTGGACTCACACCTACTACTGAGAAACAGCATGCTTCTCTGTACTGAAACAATAACAGTTACTTATTGATGAATCAGTTGACATATTGAACTAATAACTTCTACATGCACTGGGTGAATACAATGTAAAGTTAAAGCAAATGATAATCTTGGTCAATATAAATAAATTCAAACATGTCAAAACCAGTACAAGAAGGAGGAAGGCTTACCTCTTCCAACTTTCTAGTAATAAGTGTGAAAGCTTTTAATATAGCATCTGTGGCTCCTGTAACTGTGACAATACGCTCTGGACACGAGTTATCAGAAATATTAATTTTGGCTCCACTCTGGGGAATAAAAATGATCAATAAATCAATAGCAGTTTTTCACTAATATAAATGATTTAACTGTATATAATAATATGATGAAATAAACGTGAAAATGTGCACCAACTGCTTTACAAAGACAGTTGAATTTTACTGAAAGGGTATCAATAAAGAAGGCCAATTTTCCATCTTCAGGTCATAATAAGAAGTGATTGCACCTCACATATATGGTGTTTGGTGAGGATGTTTGATGCAGACCATGAATCATACAGTACTGGAACTTCAGTGTTTTGATTAGGAGTTTCTGGTTCCTCATTGGTTCATGAGGTGGTTCTAGTTTGGTTTTAGTGACATTTGTGTATCCCTGTGTGTTAACCAGTGGTTACTAAAAACTTCTAATTTTCAAATCTTTGTTCTGAGAAGGCTTTAGTGTGTGAATTTAGAAAGCTTCCTTGATCTTCCTGGTTTTCCAAAACTTGTCTGTGTGAATGAGCTTGTAATTGTCCAAGTTGATTGTATGCCCTGTTAAAAGAGTGTGCCCTGCAATGACAGAGTTCTCATTAGTCTTGTATTGTCTTTGTGTTCTTTTAATTTATTTCACCAAAATGTCATCTTGTCTCCCTACTGTAGTTTTTTTTTTCCCCCAGACAAAAGGAATCTCATGGATGACATTTTTTTGCTTATTGTTTGTCATATTTTATCTTCACCTTTGTTTCATCATCAATACACTTCCTAAAGCACTGTTTAAAGTATTTAATGCTAATTTATACATCATTTATATATAAATCTTTAGAATCCGGGTTTCGATACCCGTGGTGGGCAGAGCACAGATAGCCCATTGTGTAGCTTTGTGCTTAATTACAAACAAACAAATAAATCTTTATTGAAAAATAAATACAAAATGGTCACTAATGATATCCCATATTGGTGGAATGGTGTTATTAAAAAATTCCTACATTATTTTTCTAACAATAAAGCATTATAATGGACCTATGAAAAAATTATGAGCCTTTTTATTTGATCTTTCTCAAACATTTCTCAATTACTTTTTTATAAGTATCAACCACTCATCTTTGTCATTTGATTTTCTTCAGCAATTATACTAATGGTCAACTACAGTACGTATGAAGTGATTATTTTATAAACATTTATTACTTTTTGAATTATAACAGAAAAAAAAAGATACTTGATCAATATTAACCTATTTCACAATTCACTAAACACTGTTATTTTAGATACACAAAACTATAAATCTTTTAACAATAATTTTCCTTGTTTAGAAACTTGATTAAATAATTTTAACCATTTCATTTGATTTCAGACATCTATTACATACTACAGTTTGGGGGACACATGCAAAGAAAGCACAATTATAATTTTTTTTGTCAAGTACGATGCTATGTAATAGGCTATTTGTTGTGTCCACTGTAGGTTCAAATCCCAAATTTTAGCATTATAAGCTCTCAAACTTACTGTTAAGTCATCAAGAGAGGGCAATTATAATTTAAAGTTCATATAAATAATACTATGATAAGCCTACTCAGTAACAAGTTTTTATAAAACAAATGTATATATACACATAAAGCAGCCCAAACAACATTTCAAGACTAGAGCATTATTTTGGTACTTTCGATTAAGTGTCATTTAAATTATATACAAATGTAGTTCTCACTCCATCACAAAGTAACCTTATAAAATTTTATAAAAAAATAGTTTACAGTTTTAGAAAAAACAAAAATGTTTTTGGTTACATCCAACACATTGTAGATGTTTATTTCCAGTTTTCATTTGTATTAACATAATGTAGCATGAAATTTACATTGTTTAGCATAATTGAATTCTTTGGAAACATATATATCTTTAATTAAAATTTTAGAAACAAATATATTATTAATCTATTTAATGAACTACAAAAAAATGGTAATAAACAAAAGCTTATTTTCATATATTCCGAGCACAGTGTTTTAAAATTTTGATAAGTTCTGACACTGACATTTCAAATTGCTTGATTACAAAGCCTGAAAAAGCAATATATTTATGGTTTCTTTTTTAAAGAACTTGCAACAGATTAAGACTTCTGTCACCTGTCAAAAATATTAGAAAACTGAGTTTGCGCTATTTCTAACAAACTATACTAGCTTACCTCTTCACGGAATTTCTTTATGTTGTCACCTTTCTGTTAAACAAAGAAAACTTGTTAAAAAGATAAAGCAATAGTAATATGAAATACAAGCCATCTAAATAATAATTATTATTGAGATGGCTTGTATTTCATATTAATAATTATATTGTTTGGTATATTATTCTTCAAAGATAGCAATTATAATGATAAATGTTCCTAATGTTGAGAGAGTCAATTAATGCATTTTAATTTTTCTTGTGTTTATTTTCTTGTGTTTGATCAAATAAATAATAAATGATAACATTATAAAATATGATACCAGCATAAATACAAAAGCAGTTGGCTAATTATGTGATACAAAACAGCAACTAACAAACAAACAGCTGTGCATTGCAGGACTTTGCACAGAAGCACATGGCTAATTATATGATATAAAACAGCAATTGCAAACTAACAGCTGTGTATTGCAGGACTTCTGCACCAAAACACATGGCTAATCACATGACATAAAACAGCAATTAACAAATAAACAACTATGCATTGTAGGACTTCTGCACCAAAGCTCAAGGCTAATTATATAATATAAAACAGGAATTAAAATTGACACATGGCTAATTATATGATATAAAACAGCAATTAAAATTGACACATGGCTAATTATATGATATAAAACAGCAATTAACAAATTAACAGCTGTGGATTGCAGGACTTCTGCACCAAAGCATATGGCTAATTATATGATATATAACAACAATTAACAAACAAACAACTGTGCATTGTTGGACTTCTGCACCAAAGCTCATGGCTAATTATATGATATACAACAGGAATTAAAATTGACACATGGCTAATTATATGATACAAAACAGCAATTAACAAATAAACAACTGTGCATTATAGGACTTCTGCACCAAAGCTCATGGCTAATTATATGATATAAAACAGCAATTAAAATTGACACATGGCTAATTATATGATATAAAACAGCAATTAACAAACAAACAACTGTGCATTGTAGGACTTCTGCACCAAAGCTCATGGCTAATTATATGATATAAAACAGCAATTAACAAATTAACAGCTGTGCATTGCAGGGCTTCTGCACTAAAGCATATGGCTAATTATATGATACAAAACAGCAATTAACAAATAAACAACTGTGCATGGTAGGACTTCTGCACCAAAGCTCATGGCTAATTATATGATATAAAACAGCAATTAACAAACAAACAACTGTGCATTGTAGGACTTCTGCACCAAAGCTCATGGCTAATTATATTATATAAAACAGCAATTAACAGACATACAGCTGTGCATTGCAGGACTTTTCACAGAAGCACATGGGTAAACAAACATAATAAACTTAAGAAACCATCTACCAATTATTGCTAAAAATAATGACTTTTCGCCAGTTCCTTTGATTACCAACATGAGTATGATATGTTATACAATTTTTGTGTCAGGTCAAATTCTTTTAGAAGCCTGGACACATTCTGGTCCAATATCAATGAATTAAAAATTAATTATTACATTATTTTTTTCCCAGATCACAGACACATTACTTGAAACAGTCATGAAAGGCATACTTAAATCATGTTAGCAATCTACAACCAGTTCTTATCTTAAGAAAAAAAATCAAAAACTACTTCTGAAAGTAAAATTAAAAAAATTTTGGAAAAGTACCAAAAGTGTGCTCACCTTTCCAATAATGCTGCCAACTTCCTGTGAAATAAAAAAAAAAAATTAAAAGGGAACAAAATGTTCCAATCTTGAAAACTTGCCAGTTCTATTATATAATGATCTATATCTTTACTACTATATATATATATCTTATGACATAGCAGCAAGACCTTTTTTTTCTTCCACATTTTTATTCCTATCTTTCAAGTTACAACTTTAGCAACTTTCTTGGGTGTTCCTATTGTTTGAAAGTTTGATTCAATCTAACTGAGTGGCTTTCGCTTGCTGCTCATTTTCTATAGAACACGAAGAGACCAGCTTCACTGCATCTCAGCAATTTTCATAATTTTGCAAAAGACTTCTATAATTACATAAAATAATTCACAAAATTCTCCTAAGGAAAAAAAATAAAAAATTGCATTTATCAAAATCTTTGTAACTCAACAATACATACATTAACTCTAAGTTCACAAATGAAAGCAAAGACCATAATCACATGCATTCGGAGAAAGAGCAAAGAAGGCAGTTTAATATAAGGCTATCATATATAAAAAAGGAGAGACTACTGTAATAAGCTAAATTAATTTTTAATGTAAATGCTATATAGTATTATTGCCTTCACCCATTATGCAAGTTTTGATTGATTATAAAACTAAAATGATTGCTCAATTACAATACATTGAAACATTTTTTATTACTATGCTACCAGATCTTGTAAAGTTGAAAATACATAAATAATTATTGTTTTTGGTTATTTGAAGTTAAGTACAAAGCTACACAATGGGCTATCTGTACTCTGCTCACCATAGGTATCAAAACCTGGTTTCTAGTGTTGTAAGTCCACAGATATACTGCTGTGTCACTAGGGGGCAAATAATTATTGAGTTACCATATTTGATTTTTTTCAGGAATTCAATCCAGTGATAGACTAGGATGGTGTTAATGTCAGAACCAACACTGGTCTCAACTAGTTAGATAATGCTTCATCTAGCTGAGCTTCTTAACATCTGGATTCAACTAAGTTATTTACTTTGATTAATAATCAATTTTTCATTTTTTCGTATAGGGAATAAATATTTGTGAAAAGTGAGTTGCATATTAAGCATCAGCCTGTTTTAGAGTTCATACAACTTTAATGTAGTTACAGTTTTGATACATCTCCCAAATTACAGTTTGGTGAGATACTTTCTGCCTGATGTTTAATTATATATATGACAACATATTATTATGGTACCGAAGTTGAACACAATAATAAACAGGTAAAAACTGAACCATACTGCTAACTGAGGTCAACACTGATTCCTAAACAATAAATAATGAATTCAACCCAACTGAATATAACATTTCACATTCAAGTACATATTCAAAATATAAGGGTTGTAAAATGAGAACTATCAACACAAACAACCTACAATACATACATACAACATACAATACAACTACAAGTTAATAATTTTACAAGAGACAATTTAAACTTATAATAAAGTTTAGAGTCTAGGTTTACAAGACTTGTACTTATTACCTCGAATATAAGCCACCTTAATGACAGTACTAAGTGTATAACTTGATATATAAAAAAAACACTTATTACAAGTACTGAATCCAAGCTGCTAGGATTTTTAATAGTTGGATAAAATCACTTCTAGCATTTCTATGACTCAAGGGAAGCAAGTGTATTTGTTCATCCTTCTCTACATAGCTCGAAAGTTTTAAACCAGTTAGCAATGATAGTGTTACGTCTCTGGTCATTTGTTAATTTCCGGTAAAAATTCTTCCCGAGGAACTTCAGTGATACAAGTCTTTTCTTACATAAAACTAGTTTATTTTTTTAATACAACTTTTCAATACAAGACTAGAGTTGCGAGGAAAAGTCAGGATCCTTCGAGAAACTCATGACGTGTTACCAGCGTCACGTGACTTCCGCTGTCGTAACAATAGCTTTCTCTATTATAAGAATACCCTGATATCTAATGAGTTCAAACTTTTCTAAATAATGACACCACTTGAGCTCATTCTCTTAAAATACATCATTAATAGATTTTCTATGTTTCTGTATCCATAGGAAATGACCTTGCATTATAGAACACATTTGATAATACTTCATCAGACATTTCAACAATTCTTTTCATAAAAACAGACTTGTTAAAGTTTTAAATAGGGGCATTGTGTTTTTTATGCTCAAACTCATCGAAGTAAGTGGTATTTTCTTATTTTCCAATCAGTATCCACACTACTTAGTTAACCAAATATTCTATGATGTTCCTTCACATCATTTGGGGAGGGGGGAGGTGAGCTTTCAAAAGATTAAAAGAAGAAGTGTGGTAGGATTCTGAATCATAGGGATGTCCACATTGAATTAAGATTTTTAGGGTAGAACTTAAAACTAATTCTTTCTTTAAGTTGGAGGTTCATGATAAGGTCCAATGAAATAAATGTTTGGATTACATATCGGAATGTGGCGAACACCCGCTTTTTAAAGAATTTTCATAAATACAATAATTATGGTTTAATAGTGCTTTTGTAACTTTCTTGTTTAGCTTACTTCTAATATTTTTTAACAAAAAATTTAAATTGGATCCAATTTAAGGCATAATTGTCAATATGAAAGAACACAAAAACCACTGTTTTGGTGTTTATTGGGGTGCTATAGAGACACTTCACAGTAAGTAGACAAGGGACGAAAATGAAGGATTAAATCAAATTTGTTTAAAAAATAAAAAAATACAACTTATTAGCAAAGGATGATTGAATATTTCATTCTCATTCCCGTTTGATAAAACAGTCTGCAACTGGAAATTTTATTATAGTCTCTAATAAAGAATAATCAGAAATATGCATTCGAAAGACTTTGTCAAATGCTCAAAACTAATTTATTGAAAGTATGTGAAAATGTGAAACGAATGTGCGTTGTATGAACTTAAACAATTCTATGTCGATTAGTTAAAAATCATTACTTAATTAAGCATTATTTCCGCACCATTTAAAGACCGTTTAAACGTATATTAAGCAGAGATTCATTACACATGAGTATGCTACTATATAAAGCTTTGTAGAAAAGTAAATACAAAGACAATGGCTTGAATGATGGCAAAGGAAATACGAAACGTGTTACTCTATAGCCTATGTACATGTACACAACGTTCCTTTGCGTCATCTTTCTATTTTTACGGCGCTCGCCCAGCGTTCCGAAGGCCCGATAGTCAAAAATTTTTGGTTTTCACAATATAAGTCAAAACTCAATGAATTAACATATTCGTATGTCTATAATATATGAACGCAATCTCAAATGAAAAGTTTAAAGGGTACATCTTAGTGGGGGTTCGGGGGACCAGCCGTCCCTGACGGCTTGCTCTCGTTTTAAATACAAACAACAGAAATATTTGAATCGACACCGTAATCTACAGCTCATTGCACTGGCTCGGTGTTAAGATACTTTTACTGACTGGAAGCTTTCAACATGCTTAATGATTCGGAGATAAAACCTTCGTTGTCAGGAATAAGAATTTTGAATGTCCATTCTCTCAGAAAAGTTAGATTCCCAAATCCAATCCTTACGCGTAAATGTGCGGGTTCTACAGCTAACACTATACATGCATGCAAGAAAATAACATCGGAAAAATGAGAATATACATTATCCATCTATTCATGAAAATTGCAAGCTTTTAGGTCATATCTTGGGGTGTTATTGTCATAAAGTTTCACAAATTTAACGAAATAATCAATTTAACGTGTTAACTGTTATATGAAATAAAATAAACACATCTTCGGACTATCGGGCCTTTGGTTTGCTTGTAATTAAGCACAAAGCTACACAACGGGCTATCTGTGCTCTGCCTACCACGGGTATCGAAACCCGGATTCTAGCGTTGTAAGTCCGCAGGCATACCGCTGTGCCACTGGGGGGGGCCGGCCTTTGAAATAATGGGCCCTCGGACAAACAGACCACCACCATTTTTACTACCCACGTCACTAGTTGACGGTGTGAAGAGAGAGTGAAAAATGCTATTGTTTCATTGTGTGGTTTTTGTACCTATGTCTATGCTACACACTAGTAACTGATAAGAACTTGATTACTAAACATTACTACGAGCCAACATCGTGACACTTTTTTGTCACTTTTGTGGGTATTTACATGGCTACAAAAAAAATCACCGTACAAATATAGTTCTTCTCAAAGGAGTATAAGATGAATAGGAATTACAAAGCGTGTAAAAACAGATTCTTGTTCCACATCCTTAACCAGTACAACTCTTACAAATATCTTCTAAAATGCCCCCCAGTGGCTCAGCGGCATGTCTACGGACTTACAACGCTAAAAACCGAGTTTCGATACTCGTGGTAGGCACAGCACAGATAGCTCATTTTAAAAATATATTGTAATGTCAATTATAATGATGAAAAAGTTAGATTTAAATGACAACTTTCTCTCAATTTAATTATTAATCAGTCTTTTTTTGATGTAATTGTAATATATCTACATTGTAGCAAACGACAATAATTATGAAGAGTTATCCTATTGTAATGCGGGTAATATTAAACTACAATAAAAATGATTAAAAACTAGGTTTCCTACATTCATATATGTAATCCAAACATTTTTTTTTTATTGGAGCTTCCGTTTCATTAAACCTGATGACAACTCCTAAAGCGGATTAGAAACTAGGGTCCAATAAAATAAATGTCTGGACTACATATATGAATGTGGTGAAACACCGCTTTTAAAGAATTTTCATTATAACAGTAATTACGGTTTAATAGTACTTATTTGAGACAAGTATATAAAACATTCTTATATTTCAAACTTAACAAGACGAAATAAGAAATGTTTGGATTATGTTATTAACGAACTGTTTAATATGTGGCAGAGATAGCAATGAGGACTCAAGTCTTATCATTATTTTTTATTTAATTATTCATTACCCTGGCGGACTGTATTCAGTAAAGTCAAATGGATGGTCTCGTAAAGGTTTCTTGATAAATGTTTTCCACTTTAGAATAACACAAAATACATTTTCTCAAAAATAGTTACATAGCATTCAACA